TCTGTGCCTGGTCAAAGACAAGCAAGCAGGTCTCCCAATCGAAGCAGAGGAAGCAGCAGAGGTGGCCGAGGGGAGGGAGGAGGAGGCAGAGGTGGAAGAGGAGGAGGAGAAGGAAGAGGTGGAAGAGGAGGAGGAGGAGGAGGAGGAGGAGAAGGAAGGGGTCGAGGTCACCAACAAGCCAGTGGAAGTACAAACAGCCAATGGGAAAGATGGCCAGATGAAAAAGCTCAAGGTGCAAGAGGAGGTGGAGGAGGAGATGGAAGGGGCAGAGGACAGAGGAGAGAAGAATACAGGCAACATCATCAAGGGAAGCCAAGTTGGAACGCTGTCCACCGCCCAGTGATAAGGGGAGGCCACTCAAGAGGATTTGGGAGACCTGTTTATGGGCTCATGCAACAAAATTTTCCCAATTATTTACTTCCAGCTCCTTTAAATTTAAGCAACCGCCCTGAAAACATGGGTCACCAACCAGCCAGTAGAAGTATGACTGATTTAAGAGTTGGTCCACAAGGTGAAGAACCTCAAAGAGGAAGAGTAGAAGCTCAGCGAGGTAGAGGGGGAAATGGGAGAGGAAGAGGAAGAGGGAGAGATGGCACCCCTGAAGTACGCAAACTGGGGTATAAAATGCTTGAAGGCCTGCTGGAGAGAGAAGCATCCGAGGTGGCCATCACCCTTTCATCTAGCACTGGGCTCAAGAATCTGCTTGATGACAGTACGATGAGAAGCGACCTGGTGCAGCTGGTCTGTCAAGTTCTCTGCAAGGCCTTCGGGTCTCGAATTGACCGCAAGATCGTGCTGCACTTGGCTCGCATTGTCAAGGATTCAAAGTTTTTCCGTAACATTCTTCCGTATCATGTGACTGGAATGATGTCGGATTATGCGCAAGCTCGAAGGGAGCAGTATCCCCAACATCTGAGCAACATCATCAGCCTTCTCTCTGAAGTTCTCAACATGTTTCCTCAGAGCTCTATCCAGTCGGTCTCCATGTTGGTGGCTCTTTTGAAACCGACCGTCAACCAGTTGCGTGCCACTGGTGTGGATATTCTCCCCAGTACTGATGAAGACTTGGAGAGGGTGCAGGGTTTGGTGGACCACCTCCAAGAAAAATCAAGGGAAGGCACCTTGCGGTCCGATAACTACTCCTTCCTAGCAGCTGACGAGGACGCCCCACCTGGGGAAGAAGACTTCAGGACGATGAGCATTTATCCAACCATTGAGGAGTTCCACCTAGACCAGAAGCCATTCCTGAGACCCAACATAATGTCTCAAAGCTTTCCTAACACTCGCATCTATCTAGACACACACTTCCGACTTTTGCGTGAAGATTTTGTGAGGCCGCTGAGAGAGGGCGTCAAGGAGATCCTGAGGAACCAACACAGTGAGACTATCGATGGAATACCAATGAAAAAGAGGCGTTTTGATGACATCAGAATCTACTTTGACACCCGATTGGTTTTGCCACTCTGCACACCAACGGGCATCGCCTACAAAGTGCAGTTTGACCCACGGCCTCTTCAGGTAATCACAAATTACAAGTTGTCTGAAAGAACTCCATGCACTCTATAGCTCCCAATTATGTCCTTCCACCATTGATCCTTCTATCAGTTTATTTCATTGAATCTTCTCTTACAGTTTGTCCGGTGGGAAAATTCCAAGCGTCTCATTTACGGATCCCTTGTCTGTCTCTCCATGGACAATTTCGAAACCTTCCTGTTCGCCACTGTTACCGATCGGGATCCAACGCTGCTGAGGAAGGGACAGGTGCATCTCTGTTTTTCTTCTGAGAGCAGGGCCAGGTTGGCCAGAATTCAGCCCTCGGACTCCTTCCTGATGGTCGAGACCACGGCTTACTTTGAGGCCTATAGATATGTCCTAGAAGGTCTCCAGGAGCAAGATGAGAATGATGTTCCCTTTCAAAGGTATGCATTTCTTACTTGTGCAAAACTAGAGAATTGCTAAGGTATTCCTTAATGGTTTTTAGAGTGTTGTTTTGTGGTTGCTTGGGTGTTCTGGGTGGTTCCTAGGTTGTCAAAAGTACTTACTGCCAAGTCTTTGTATCGTCAGTTCCAGGTCTGAACAGTAATAATAGTCATGCCTACCTTGGTAAACACCACACTGCACATTTTTGTTGTTTTAGGTACATAGTGGAGTGCAACACAGATGTAGATCCTCCAGCTTACCTTCGGGTGGAAGGAAGGTCATACGATCTTTCTAGCATTATGGCAGAAGGGCAGGAGAAGATTCCACCCTTCAACCCCTTGACCCCACACGCCTGGCCTGATGAGGAAAAAGTGGGTCTCGATGAAAGCCAACTTCAAGCGCTTAAACTGGCCTTAACCAATGAAGTGGCCATCATACAGGGACCACCAGGAACAGGTGACTTATCTGTGACTAGGGTTTGCTGTTAACCAATGCGGTACTCTCGAGATCATCTTGCATATGCACAAAAAAGTTAATTATAACGGCTTAATAGATGCAACCTATTTCTGGAGTGCAAAGACATCTGGAAAATGTGAAGATCCTGTTTGTTTTCTTCTTTGCAGGGAAGACGCATGTAGGCCTGAAGATCGCTCAGGCTTTGCTAAACAACCATGAGGCCTGGTCAAATAATTGCCCTATGCTGGTGGTCTGCTATACCAATCATGCTCTTGACCAGTTTCTGGAAGGTACGGTGCATCTGTGTGGTATTTATAAGATCTTGTTGCTTTTTTGGTACTTTGTGGATAAGTATGGGTAGGTCTCTCAGTTGTTTCTTAGAGCCGTCGATAAGATAAAATGGAAAGCAAAAAGAGATGCCTCCTACCTCTGTGTTCTTGCTTGTTACAAAAACACACCAGTAATCTTACATCCCATGTGTCTCAGAAAATATTTTCTTTTAAGCATTTAAGGGACTTTGAACTTTATGGCTTCTCCAGAGAGTTAATTCTAGTCCAGTAAAAGATAACTCGATTGCACAAAAGATAACTAGCTTCATGTATGATATTATGAGATATTTCATAAATTTTGTCCCAGGCATCCATGGATTTTTAAAAAGGGGCATTGTGAGAGTTGGAGGACGAAGCAACAGTGAAACTCTAAAGCCCTTTGGTCTGAGGGAGCTGACCAGGGCATCAAACTTCCGCAAAAATTTACCACAGCACCTGAGGAGAGCCCATCATGAAGTGAGCCCTCTATCATGGACACAGCTCAGATTTCATTATGACATTCCTGTATTTTATTTTATTTACTAATTATTATTATATTATATACTATTATTTCCTAGGATTGTCAATAGAATGTTAGAGTGATATTTTAGTATTATTTATATACTGTTATAGTTTTTATAATATTTTTTTTACTATTTTATATTTCTGTTTTCATTAAATTTTATTTAAAGTTTTAGTAAATTTGTGTTTTGTCAGTTTTATTAGTTTTTGTCTTTTCAATATGTCTAAACAGTTTTTAAATTTTTTTTTTATTTCAGTTGTAATTTTTAATAATTTTAGTACTTTAAGTTAAACTAAACGAAAATTAGAAATGCTGCCTTGCCAACTAGCTGAAATAAAAATAAGTTTGTCTTTATATTTTATATTATTTCATTTAATATTTACTTTTAATTCAAGTAATGAAAAAGTTTTATTTTTTACTATTTTTTTAATGATTTTGGTTTTAAACGTAATAACCGTTTAACCATTTACAAAAACAACGACAATAATAATAATAATGTTTGAAATTACACAAGAGTGAATACATTATGAAAACCCTTTTTATTTTTTCATAAACTGTTCTTAAAAAAAATCTCAATAAATATATAATTAATATAATGTTTAATTTGATAATTAGATTAAATGTGTGCTGTCAGGCATGTGCATAACATGTATTTTCGTTATTCATTTCAGTTCTCTGAAAACAAGTATGTGCCAGTGCATCTAATAATATATGAATGATATTTCTAATGAGTATGCTGTATGTCCACAGATCTACACACAGATGGAGGCCGCAGAGGAGCTCTTAAAGAGACAGTCCGCTCAGCTGGAGTGCAGCTTGCGTGGCGTCCTCAGAGAAGACTTTCTGGAGAGATACATGTCTCCTCAGCACTGGGACAGCCTGTGTCTGCAGCCAGTGAGTGCGACGCACACACAGACACACACACACACACACACACACACACACACAGGCTCTGAAACGCTTTGACACAGCTGTCAGACATGCCATCCTTAAATAGTGTATACAGACCTTGAAGCTATATTTTGCAGTATGATATTTTTCCCTGAACATCTGCGCTAAGCAACGGCACAAGCTAACAAAAACAACTTTGACTTTCTTTGATGGGTTTAATATCCCATTTGATTTGGTTCATTTGCATCCATTAAAATCAGAAAATCATTCTTTAAACAGTATAGTATGTTGCACTTCCCAATGAAACTGCATTTGGCACTCGGCCCTGCTTTTAAGCTACTGTATCATATTTGCTATGCACATTTCTAAGGCCTCTAAATTATCATCATAATCAAAATTTTGCTGTAAAACCTGTTACACACAATCTAATCCATGCCTTCTGTCATCTGATTGATAATTTATACTTTTTTTGTAAAAGTCTAATTGTACAAGCGTCCACCTTCAGCTTGTGCGTCACGTGTCTTTTTGCTGTGAAATCTTTTTTGATTTTTATAAAACGTCAGAATAACTTGTATATCGTTACTGTATTGAATTGTACATTTTTATAATATCATTTATTTTTTAGAAAAATAATGTTCAAATGCGAGTATCAAATATGATCATCAGGCTTTTATGATCATCTCTCAGTCATCATTGTATTGCATTGGATTATATGTTTTGGTCATTAAAAAAATAAGCATTTAAAAATCATCTTACTAAGATATAGTATCCCAATAACATGTCTTAGTAATATGATATTTAAATGCTCAGTTAGATATAGGGACAACTGGTATTTATATGGATTTATTGGAAGTAGTTTGATTGCATCATTTGCACCAAATTGCATATTTTGCTCAGATTGGGCCTCTGAATAAAACTGAGCAGTTTTTTCCTCCATATTCTCACTATATCAGACTATATGAACAATGAAGGCCTGCATCAAATATGATACTTGACAAATATGCATGCAAACTTTTTTTTAATATATATGTTTTGTCTAAAAGTTCAGTAAATTCTGACTTATTTCATCAAGCCATGAATCTTGTGACTTCAAATCTGTATAAACTCAGCAGTTTTCAAAACGTGCTTTCTTCCTGTGTTAGGTGATGGATGGATTTGAGAGTGTGGGGAGAAAGAAGACTTCAATGATCCCGGAGTGGCTCGGCATCGGATTCTCTGTTTTTTTGCAGGGGCCACAGCTAACAGGTGGAGACTCTAATACACTAACCACAATGTCAGCAGCAATTTACCGCTGAGATGCAGTATTTATTATCATTTAATGATTAATGCAACAACTGCCAAACTATTCATAAGACAAAGTATTCTGCATTTCTCAATCATTTGCATAAATGCAGTGCAGGTAATATATTTTTCCTGCAGCTCATCGGGGCCCCCTACTGGTTGAGGCCTGTATTTGTCTCCAGTTAACACTTGTGATCAGATTTCATGACCAAGTACATCATGAAATAAACAATTTTATTACTGCAAGTTGATAAAGAACACAAACAAACAAAGCATAAATTGAGATCAGGACACATTAAGGCTTGCATTACAAATTTCAACTAGTCCTCTAGTCAATGAATGTAAACCAGAAGCATTAATGGCAAATACAGCATTACAAACCTCTCTCTCTTTCTTTCTCAGAGATGGCAGATGAAGACGGGCCACAGCTGAACGATGAGGAACTGATAGATATCGATGAAGAGGCGGATCTGATCCAGGCCGAGAGGATAGTGGTGGATGCGGAGCACGGGGATAAAGACTGGAAAAAGCTGAAACAAGATCAGAAAAACATCGCTGACATGGCTGAGTTGATGCTGGCGATGAACCTGAATGATCCTGAACCACAAGAAGCAGCCCAGAATCGGGCTCAGAGTCAGGCTGATCAAGAGGAATGGCAGGTATGAGACTTCATCCATTAATATAATCATATATATTTTATTGAAAACAGTTTACATTATATTAATAAAAATGTAGAATATATATATATATTTATTTTAATTATTAGTTAAATGTGTAGAATGTATGTTGAATGTTGAAAACAATTGTGAATATTATGTAAACTGTTTTTATAAGTTTATATTAATTGAGATTAAGTGGAACATTTGCATTTTTAAACATTTGTTTGTAACTGAGTAAGAATATTTAAAAAGAGAGGGTAAAACGATGGTTTTTAAATCATTTTAAATAATAAAAAAATTATTGTCATCATTATTTTTTTTGATGTAAATCAAACTTAGTTTTTCCGAATTCCAGATGTCAGTGTGGTCTCAGACTTTTGTTTATATTTAACATTTTAATCTAAAAAAAAATAAATAAAACATTGTATTTATATTTAAAATGTAAAGATCAAAATCTTAAGTTCATGCTGTTTTTTTTTTCTTTTCTTTTTTATGCTATGAAAGTGAATGATTTGAAGGTCTTCAAACTCCAAAAATGCATCATACAAACCAGGGTTACGCAAGAATTGAAATAACCTGTTTTACTTGGAAATATGCTACATTGTGGAAGTAAAGTGGCTTGGGAATGTCATTTCATGTTGATTGTAAAGGCATTGCTGTTCACCATTTGTGTGTTGTTGTGATGAGCTCAGTGCTACTGTTCTGCTGATGTGTGTTCAGATGCAAGGCCACCAGAAGAAAAAAATTAAGCAAATGGCTAAAAAGGAGCTGAGGAAAACTTCAGCCATGAGTGAGCAACAAGAAAGGCAAACCAGGAATGTGTGGATCCTCAATCTGAAAGACAGATGGAGACTGTATCGGTAAGACACACATACACACTCCCTGCACTAGATGGCAGCATTTACCCACAAATTTGTTTAAGCCACACCAGTGCACAAAATGTCAGCTAAATTACATTCATGTTTTCTCCTTCAGGCTTTGGGTTTTGCGCTATCGGACTGATCTCCGCGCTAAGGCCCTCACCTCTGAACAGGTGTATCAGGACGCCGCGGAGAGGCTCAATGAAATCCGCCGCCGTGAGGACCTGTGTGTGCTGCGACAGGCTCGGGTCGTCGGTATGACCACCACAGGAGCGGCTAAATACAGACAGGCTCTGCAGGAGCTGCAGCCCAGACTGGTGATCGTGGAGGAGGCGGCAGAGGTGTTGGAGGCGCACACCATCACCACCCTCAGCAAAGCCTGCCAGCACCTCATACTGATCGGAGATCACCAACAGGCAGGCAGCACTTAAAATATTATGAAAAAAATATATTATGGGGGTAGTGGGGAAAATATGTACATCTTATATATATCTTTAACATTTCTTTATTTTGAGGAATTTTCAAAATTGTCTAAATTGTAATGTCAAATCAGGTTAATTAACTAGGTTGATTTATTGCATAAACAATAAATGCCTGTGTAATAATATATCATGATGCTTTCATGTGTTAATGCATGTCTTCATGCATTTCAACCTGCACAGTTGAGGCCTAGTGCAACAGTGTATGACCTTGCCAAGAATTTCAATCTGGAAGTGTCGATGTTTGAGAGGCTTGTGAGAGTGAACTTTCCATTTGTGCGCCTTAACTACCAGGTTAGTTTGTGTATTATTACATCAGCCGTTTAAGGGAAGCACTTTATTTTCCAGTCCTGTTGCACATGTACATACTACACTCTAAAAAAAATGCTGGGTTGTTTCAACCCAACTTTGGGTCAAATATGGACTAACCCAACTTTTGGGTTAAAAACTTAACCCAATGGTTGGGTTAGTCCATATCTGACCAAAAGTTGGGTTGAAACAACCCAGCATTTTTTTTTTTAGAGTGTATGTACTTGTTATAGTAATTAAAATAACTGGGTAATAACTAGGTACTAACCCTGAAACTACTCCTAAACTTAACCTTAACCCATGTTAGTTACCTTATATTATCCAGTACTTTCTTAGGTAAGTACTGGTAAGTGCACATACTGTAAAATAAAGTGTAACCCAATTGATTACATATTTACTGAAGTCAGTCATTCCTCTAGTGAATCGTATGCTAAAACAACATGAACAACAAATCTGTTTTATTTCTAGCATCGCATGAGGCCAAGCATCGCTCGACTGTTGACTCCTCATATCTATGAAACACTGGAAAACCACCCCTCTGTACTGGAGTATGACAATGTTAAGGTAAGTAAATTTCAGCAAATGCTATTACACAACCTTCTATTATAATATTACATCAGTTCTGGTAGGTACCTGTCACAGTTTGCTAAAAAGTAAGTTGGCTACCATTATCTACTTGACACCTGCATCTTTCGGTCTACAGGGGGTTCTGACAAATCTCTTTTTCGTGGATCACGGGCAATTTGAGGAAGAGATTAAGGATGGAAGGAGTCACCAGAACCCTCACGAGGCTCAGTTTGTGGTCGCGCTTTGCCGCTACTTGATGCTCCAGGGCTACAAGCCTTCTCAGATCACCATTCTGACGACTTACACAGGACAGCTTCACTGTCTACGTAAGCTCATGCCCTCACCGAATTTCTCTGGAGTCAAAGTCCACGTTGTTGACAAATACCAAGGGGAGGAGAACGACATTATCATATTGTCTCTGGTGCGCAGCAATCTACAGAGGAGAGTCGGCTTCCTGAACATATCAAACCGGGTCTGCGTTGCCCTTTCTCGTGCTAAGATGGGTCTCTTTTGTATCGGAAATATGGACATGCTCAGCTCCGTTACGCTGTGGAGCAACATCCTTCACACTCTGAGAGAGTCAGATCAAGTGGGTCGTGCTTTGACGTTGAGCTGTCAAAACCATCCGGATAAACAGATCCTTGCATCCTGCAGTGATGACTTCAGAGGTGCCCCCGAGGGTGGCTGCGATCAGCCCTGCCAATTTCGCTTGGATTGTGGCCACGTGTGCACCCGTATGTGCCACCCATATGATGTGGAACACAAAGAATACAAGTGCATGAAAGACTGCCAGAAGGTGCTGTGTGAGCTGAAGCACAAATGTACACGTCGCTGTTACAAAGAATGTGGTGAATGCCAGGTACTCCTAGACAAGATCATTCCGTCATGCCAGCATAGTCAGAAGGTGCCTTGCCACCTAGACCCTGAGAAATTTGTCTGTCAAGAGCTTTGCCAAAAGACCCTCCCATGCGACCATCCCTGTAAGGCAGCTTGTGGAGAGTCCTGCACCGCTCAGTGCAAGGTTAGAGTTCAAATGCAGCTGAAATGTGGACACGTCCAGGAAGAACCGTGCTTCATTTCCAGGGACCACAGAAGGGAGCCAAACTGCAAAACAAAATGTGGCACCACCTTGGAATGTGGCCACCCTTGCCCAGGAACTTGCCATGGATGCTTTCAAGGTCGCCTGCACAAAGCATGCACCCACAAATGCCAACAAACCCTCGTGTGTTCTCATCAGTGTCGGGAGCCTTGTGTAAGAGATTGTCCACCGTGTTCCGTTCGCTGCGAGAACCGTTGCGTCCACAGCGTCTGCATGAAGACTTGCGGTCAGCCTTGCGCGCCTTGCAACGAACCCTGCGAATGGCAGTGCCCTCACCACAGCTGTACCAAGCTGTGTCACGAACCATGCGACCGTCCGCCTTGTTCTGTTCCCTGTAACAACACCTTGCGCTGCGGACACCGCTGCATAGGTCTGTGCGGAGACCCTTGTCCCAATAAGTGTCGCATTTGCCATAAGGATGAGGTCACGGAGATCTTCTTCGGCAATGAAGACGACCCGGATGCTTGTTTCATTCAGCTTGAAGATTGCAAGCACCTGTTCGAGGCTACAGGAATGGATCAATACATGAATCTTGACGAAGACCAAGGCGCTGAACTGGATCAAAGGGCGATCCGACTCAAGGATTGTCCAAGGTGTCGCACTCCCATCCGTAGAAACCTTCGGTATGGCACTCATATCAACCGCAGCCTGGCAGCCATCAGTTCATTATGTGATGAATGTCGTCCTGTCATAACATAAACCCGAATGCAAAGTCGGCACTTTCTGCACAGGAACACAGGGTGGGGTGGAGAAGCGACAACAACGACAAAAACTGTTGTGTCAGGATGCGAAGGAAAAGCTTAAGCATATTTCTGAGGGAAGAATAGCATTTAATAAATATGCTTAATAAAATTTTGTTTTAATGAAAATGTGTGTCCTTTAATGTTTCATTAGATTTCATGCATGCAACTTCAGGTCTTGGTTTCAAGTATATAATTACTAACGTTCATCTTTGGCTTGATTTCACTTGGTGGCAGCAGTGTACCGTCAACAACTCTCTCAGCAACAGAGTCTGTATAAATGTGTGCTCTCCATTAGGCAAGCTGTGCTGTCTCTCATGTACGGTCAGACTCTGACCTGCATCAAGAAACACTGGTCTCTGTCAGCTTCAGCAGGTTTATTCTCCGCTGATATCTGCCTAATTATAAAGCATTACCTGAGCTCTCTGCCTTAATTACAGAGTGAGTCCAGAGGCTAGTCTGTGAGCGACTGGGACGGCTTCCATTTAGGCTTCCTAGCTTTCAGGGGGTTCATCATGTTATATGAGTGAGTGTATGGTAATCGTTCAGTACCATGGTATAATTAAGATACTGTATATGTATACCATGGTACCAGTTCTATTTGAACATTATATTATCAGCATTTGTTTATATTTTGCTTCTATCATAGTTTCATTGGGAGAAAATAGTTGTATTGGAGATTGTTGACCTATGAAATGAAATGAATGGATTTGGAGAATTTGATGAGAAATGGTTCAGTTCATTATCATTGTAGACTTTCATCTTAGAAAATCTGAGCACACTTTGAAACATTTTTGAGATCTCTTCTGAAATTCTAGAGGAGACACATGAGCATACTGGTGTTTTTTTTCTCAGGAGAAACATCAGAGAGGCTTGAAGTCTCAATTTGTTCTTCATTTAAACTCATTGCTTTCTAGGAGAATAAAAAATAGATCTCATTTGCGATGTGTGATCCTCTGCGAAGTAGTGGTTTATCTGTTCAATGACTGCAAATTGTTCTCACTGTTTAAGCATCAGTAGATGTGCACGTCATTATGATATCTGTGGCTGTTTTCCGCATTACATTTATCAAAGCCGCCTGCTTGGAACGAACTGATTAAAATTTCATTGGGCCCTGTGGTGACCAGCTATAAGCTTTCATGAAATAATGTGCATGTGGATGTGTAAATATGGATCCGGTAAGGTTACAGCTTCGCTGTAAAAGCATATGAAAGCCTTATTCACTCTCAGCTCATTCTGCAGGCCTATGTGTGCTCGAGCGGCTCGTTTCAGCGCCAGACACTTTTGTGTCCCGCAGTACGGCTGCTTTAATTAATGTTGGATTATACGTCCTTTGAACAGTCACATATTCATGTTCAAAAGGAGGTTTGTCGTGTAACGAGGTGTAATCGTAAGACGAGTCTTGGAGTGTCTTATGAAACATGGAAAAATGTCTGAACTTTTAATCATGCAATTACCAATGGGAACAGTGAAGGGGAAAAACTGTGGCTAAAAGATGAACCTGCTTAATAGGTTCTGTCATTCCAAACCTGATGAGAAACCACACCAATAGCTTACGCATCCGTTACGAAACTTACCCGCTTGTTGCAACAAGAATTCCCATTCATTTCTGGGATAATGCTTGAGATTGTTGATGAAATATGTGGTTTGTCATTTGTATAATTTCACTGACAAATGGTTTTATTGTGATGGCAGATTGAATTCTTTATTTACTGCCAGTTCACCTAAAAACCAGAACAGATACTTCTGTTGCGTAAAATGTGTAGCATGCATTTTTATATTCAATATATTTCTCCACCATCTTAGGTTTATTTTTTCCCACTGAGCTTGGTGCAATGCATTCTGGGTGTAGAATACTCCTGTCAAAACTTAAACTTATTTTTCTTCCAATAGACTTGCATCCACTGAGACGATACACTTCTTAATTCCTCGCTCCCTGCTGAACTGATTTCACTTTGGCTCATGTTCTTGTCTTTTATCCAGACCAGTTCTCTGGTGCCTCCCTTCTTTCTTGGCATCGGTTTTGCCAGTGTATTTTGTAAAACCATTGCCAATTACAGACTCAGCAAAGCATGCTTTTAATAAGCCTTGTTTGCCATGTGAAAGAAAAACATGCATCAACTTGTTTTTTTTTGTGTGTGAGAGGAGCGGTTATGAAAGTTGTTATTAAAATGTGGCAAAGCTGAAAGATGAGAAAGTGTGAGCATCAAGATTATTAAGAATAATATTTTTGGTTCCTCGAAGGACATTAAGATACATTGTAGGATGAGGGACAAGTTGTAATGGCAAGATGGTTTTGTACATGTTTTTCTTTCATTTTTGGGAGATAAAATAATGGTTCTTAAGATGCAAATTGTTGCAGTGAGTCTTGTGGGTAGTGGTAATTGCTTTTCAATTGCTAGGTGTTCTGTATGGTTTTCAGTGCATTGTTATTATTCAGTTATTACAGGTTGTTATTAGTTCTAGTTACTAGTCCTCAAGTCTCTGGTTTGTATATATGGCTTGGATCTCTCCTTCAATTTCATCTATGGGATTTTTTGCATGCTCTATTTATCCAGCAAAGTCACTTACAACACTAATATTGATGCTTGACTTATAAAATGCAACAAATTAAGTGTAAAATCTCATTTTCGTCTTTCAAAAGCTTGACAGTCGATTGTGATTGCATTTTTAACAAACTGGCTGCATATGCAAGAGTCTTTATTTTCTTTTCAACTAAGTTATGCTCTGCATAATGCATTACTTTACAGTTCTTTAACCAGAATGACTGTCTTTCTAAGATGTTAGAAGCTTGACAAGCTTCATGGAAAACCCTCAGGTATGTGGAATCCATCAGACCTGAACATTGTGAATTACACACAGATAATTTGGGACTGAGACTCACACAGGTACACGAGTCTTTTCACATAATAATGATCAAAAGTGGTGAAATGTACAACTAATTGCCTTTTTTTTAAGTCACTAGGGATGCACGCTTTAGTCAATGCATGGGGTTTGCAGTGTTCTTCTGTGGTCATTCAGAAACAAGGGCCAGAGTGTGATTTAACTGGCCATTTTGAATGTAAATGCAAATTTGTTCATCATACAATGCATGCCTCTCTCTTGACATGTAAATAAAATCTAGCATATTTTTGCCCAGGTAAGCATATTTACTCAGGTATGATTCTAAACTGATTTGAATAAATGTATGAAACTCAATTTCACCTAATGGCGGCTCACTGTTCGAGCACCTGCGGTTGAGTTAGTGAGTGACATTAAGTCGCTTTGCTGCGCTGGGCTGAGAAATGCTTCATAACTCTGGATTCAATTCAGCATTTCCAATATGACACCATATGTGCTTTTTTGAAAAAGGCAATTATGTGTGCAGGTACTTCACATTTAATGAAACATAGCCAAGAAACTGAAGCTAATGAGAAGAAATTCTCTTCCTTACAATTTCAGACAGCGTCAGTTTACTGGAGTACGTAACGGCTCATGTAACAATATGGTAATTCTAATTATAGTAAATAAGTATTTATCCAAATAAATATGCAGAAATTACGTTTTTTTAAATTTTTCATTTAATAAATTTACATATATATATATATATATATAGCATGTGCATTAAATACGTGTACATTTATATATATTTTTTAATTATATATAAATAATTTATAAAATAACTTATTATATATAAAATATTTCTACTTAATATATGAAGCATAATGTATTATTTATATATTGCACATGCATTGCATTGCAAGTTAATGTGAATTTTTTTAATATTTGTAATAGTACAATATTTATTATATACGTACATTTATGAATTTTTCAACATATTTATAATTAATATGATATATGATACACACACATACATACATTTTGCACATGCATTGCATATGTTAATAACGTTTTCTATTTCTATATATTTTATTATACCTTTTATAAAGATTCACACACACTAGATAGATAGATAGATGATAGATTTTTTGGTTTGATTTTGTTGCTAGGTGGTTGTCCAGAGAGGATCAGGTTTCATTCTTCAGTGTAAATATGAGGGATTTTTTCCCCAGCTATTATAATGGTAGTTTATAGTAATAGTATCACAGCTCTCCTGAACAAGCCGATGACTTGATGTATTGTAGAGGAATTATCCTCTAGTTTGAGCAATAGAAATGCTTCTGTTTGCCTTTGTACTGGATATGATTGTTGTCTCAAGTTTGACACAGAAGCAGCAGTGCCTTAATTTAACCTGCTGCCATTTGAGTCTTGTGTTAAAAGACATCCGTGCACTATATAACACTACGGAAGCCATTCTGTTTGAAAAGAGACCCGAAAATCTTGGCGTGCCACCTTGGCCGAGGTTGCAACGTGCCAAGTGTGCTGAATGGACGTTTTGGCAGCGAGTGGGGGGGTGGGGGGCGTCTGACAGCCTGCTTTTATATGCCTGCGTGATTTGTGCTCTGCCAAAACCATCGATCCACTCCAAATTAGAACAATTACTGCCGCCTCGCCTTCCTTTTTCCCTGCCTTTCATTAAAAACGGCTCTGTCGATAGCACTGTTTATGTCAAGATTAATGTGATGCCAACCTGACAGGATGTCATTATGTGATTATTTCATCTTGGGCTGGCAGAAGGAAAAGAATAATTATTGTTAAAGATAATGTTTTGTTCCACAGGGTACTTTGAGAGCTTCCTTGAACGAACAAACATCGGCCTGCATGTCTTCAGCCAAAATATGTGATGTGCTGTTCCCAATCTGCGGTTTGCAAAGTCTTTATTGGGAATTCCTATGATTAAGCATATTTTAAGCAATGCAATTGTTTAATAATGCAATGCAATGCAAATATCGAATTACCCTCACTGCATTGCAGGTTAAACCCATGTCGTCTGGATTTTCTTTTTGTTTATCTTCTGTAGTTTTACTTGTGGTTTTTGAGTGCGAGGGTGTCACACAACACATCCATGTTGACATCTGT